AAAANAAAAAAAGAAAAAAAGGAAACTGCTCGCACAGTCATGCAATGCTACTGTATCAGCTGCTAGCCGCGCTGCTACCTACACCCTGGCTCCTTTTCCCGGCCCTCCCTCCCGCTCGGCGAGATGCTCGGGAGCCAAGAAGGGGGGCCTTGATGGTACCTACTCTATCTTCGCAGACGCCGCTCCTGTGCATGCTGTGTGGCCGGCAAGGGGATGTCCGTCGAAAACGATCGCGAGGCAGCGCTCTTATTTCTGTATTCTGGTTGCGAGCTGGTGTACAGCCGCTTCCCCCGCCTCCTGGCGCTGGGTTGAACCTGACTGAGTGGCAGTTGCTTGGTTCCTACTCCTACTACGAAGATTGTAGCCACATGCGAAGGGGATACGCAGATACATCGACTGAACCTTTTTACCCGACCTTACTAACCGGCTCTCGTGCCCGAGGCGAGATCTTTGTCGTAGTGGATACCAAGATCCCGTGCGTGTTCCCTGTGGCCTGTATGTGTCCAAGCAGCCAACCAAATTCATATACCATGAACATGGGGGAAAAGGGCGGGAGCTGATACCTATGCACACTACATGTCGCAACCCAGATACCCAGGCCAGCAGCATATGAGCTAAATCCGTCGCGCTGCCTATTGTCGCCAGCTGATCTAGGGGCTGAGTAAACGTCCCCTTCCCTTCAAGCCAGCCAGCCACCCCATCCCACCCCTCAGCCCACAAATCATAGGCACCAAGCTCCTTTCCACATCCCCCCAGCGCCGCTGTCCAATGCAACAGACTGCCCAAGACACACAAGCGAGAACCCATCAACCAATCGTTTATCTCGCCCAAGCCCTTCCAAACGAATGCAACAAAACTTTAGCCATGGCCTAAAAGCCAAGACGCCCAACGGCAGAAAGAACATGCGGGGGTATGTGGACATGGAGGTGAAGAGTCTTGTGTAGAATGAAAAAAAAGAGAATATTGGTGGTATAGGCGCAAACAAGGCAGGATAGGACAAAAGTTGGAATAGAAATATAAAAATCAAGGGTGGAGGGCGGTGCCCCAATCGTGTACCTACATTGCCCGCCCTCCCCCATTACGCTACCCCGTTTGACCAATGAAAAATACATAGGAAAAAGCCAGTGCTTTCCTTTCCTTTGTCTATCAGTTGAAACTCCAAACAAGATCGTGTATGCGTTAGGAGGGGAAAAAAGGAAACAGGTGTCGGTCGAGTATTGGACCGTTGAACATGAAAAGAGAAGGCTCGGACGTGTAGAACCGAGACGAGAGAAATATCAAGAAGATGGGTTGAAGTGTGTAGAGGGTTGCCAAGGGTGGGCTGTTGGGAGATGGGTGCCGGATCTGCAAAAAAAAAAAAGAAGGCAAGAGAGATACAAGACGTCTGGTATATGGCAAAAGCTCCGGCAGTGGCAGCATAAAGAGCGAAAACGCAACAACGCAACAGTGTAAGCGAGAGATGGGCGCTCAGTTCTCAGTTCTCACGCTCCTCGCGGATCGAAGTCATCTCCATACCACCCCCGCCTAGCCCGCTCCCGCCCGCGAGAAGCGGGTTGCTCTGCGGCGGAGGCATCTGTTGCGACGCCAGGCTGCTGGGCCCAGCGGGTGAAGCGTCAAGGCCGCCGCCCGCCGCCGCAGCCGCCGCCGCCGCCGTCGACTGCTCAGCAGTGGGAGGGGCCGAGGATGTACCGGTCGCCCTAGGAGTTGCTGCAGTCGAGGGAGGCGCCTGCCCCCCCTTCTTGCCGGCGGTCGACTCGGCCGAGAATTCGCGCTGGAGGGGCGACTGGTGCGAGGGGGAGTTCGACTTTCTGCTCTGGGCGTCTTCCTTGTTGGCACCGCCGCGCGACGAGGTCCGTGGCGAGACGCGGCCGATCTGTGTCTTGGGTTAGTTGGTGTGCTCACCCACGACCAAGACAGAAGAACAATACGCACCTGCTTGGCCCATCGAAGGCCGCAGCTGTTGCACAGATCGCGCTGGCCGCTGGGCCCCCTTCGCCACTCGGGCGTGCTGCGTGTGTGGCAGTTTGCGCAGTCGCGCACCAGGCCCGCGCTCCGCCGCCGCTTGCGCTTCTTGCGGTTCGACAGCAGCTGGCCAAGCTCCTCGGCCAGCAGCCGGTTCACCTTCTCCATCTGGTGCAGCTCGTACTGCCAGCTCGTGCACCGCGTCGTGTTGAGCTCCTCAAACATGTTGTCGTCCAGCTGCTTGTACGTCCCTGGCATGTCGCTCGCCATCGTCGCCATCGTCGTTGCCGTTGCCGACCCGTCTAGTGTCGGCGTGACCGCCCCTGCCGCCCCCGTGCCCACGGATGCAGGCGTCGCTGCTGCTGCTGTGCTGCCATCGCCGTCTTGCTTGGACCCTGGCTGAGAAGCAGCAGCCGGTTGATTTGAAGCGCCTGCTGTCGTGGCTCCCGATCCGTTCTGGCTGCCTGTCTTCTTACCAGCCGCAGAGCCCGAGACGGACGAGGCCGGGGCGCCGCTGCCGCCTGAGCGCGAAGAGGCCTTGACAAGCTTGGTCTGCGCTAGCAGGAAGGACGCCTTCCCTCCGGGGTTGTCAGCGCTGTCGCCCGGGTACAGCGTCGTCAGGGCCTGGAGCACTTGGCCTCGGCGGTTCTGCACTTCGTGCTTGCACGACACCATCTTCCCCTTGCGCGCCTTCTCGATGGTGCGGCCAAACTCGGGCCGCGACTCCTTGCGCATGAGGTCTTGCATGCTGGTGCCCACCAGGTCCTGTGGCTGCAGGTCCAGCAGCGAGCGGATGTTGGACGACACGAACAGGAACATGCCCGACGTCGAGAGCTTTGTCCACAGCTCGCTGTCGCCGATGCCGCCGTGCGCCTCGACGTCCTTTTTGCGCAGCGTGAAGACGGGCCGCTTGCGCCCGACTAGCACGATGAACTTGCGCCCCTTGCCGGCCTCGACGAAGAGCGACCCGTAGCTCTCGAACCATGCGTACCCCTTCTTTTTCTGCTGGATCCGGAACGCCATGTTGACCGTGGGGTTGGCTGGGGACGCGTCCTTGAGCTCGCGCGTGACCGAGATGAGGTCCGACGGGTGGCACAGCGACGTGATGGTGTTCTTGCTGGACCCGGGCCCTACCAGCTCCGTCGCCTCGTACCCGAGCACCTTTTTGCACGACGGGGACAGGTACTGGAACGCGCCCTTGGGCGTCAGCACGTGCACCACGTCGTCGGCGTTCTCGAGCAGCATCTTGTCCCACGCCTGCCGATGCCAGTCCGACGCTACGCCCTTGGGCTTGATCTGCTTGAGCAGCGTCGACACGTCGTCGGCGCTGAGAGTCTGGCTGCTGTCCTGCTCTCCACTCGCCGCCGCCGCCGCCGTCCCCGACGCCCCGACGCCTGCTGCCGCACCCCCAGGCCCGCCCCAGATGTACTGCCCAATGTCGCTATTCTTGTAGTTGACCTGCAACTGCCCACCCAGGTCGTGTTTCGTGATGGCGTCCGGGCACTCGACAACGTCGATCTGGAAGCCGACATAGTAGCGCAGCTCGTCTGTCTCCCATGGGATCGGGATCATGGTGAGCAGGTTGAGAAACGGCTTGCCGCCCTTGCGGTAGTTGATGAGACTCTGCTGGATCTCCTTGCGCTCCGCTATTGCCTTTTTGAGGTTAAACACGGCGTGGTCCTCGACGAACTCGCGTTTGACCCCGGCCTCGACTTGGCCGTCGGGCGCCTGCAGGAAGCGGCAGTTCTTGCCCAGGATCTCGTGCTGGCTGTACCCCGTCAGGTTCTGGAAGTTGCTTGACACGTACACGATGGGACAGTCGTTTAGACTGATGTCGGTCACCACAAACGCACACGACAGGTCGACGGCCCCGAGTTGGATCTGCGGGTTCTGCCGCGACGCCACGTAGTACAGTGCCCTGACCATGTCGAACCCCGACTTGGAGTAGACGCTTTTGGCTACGGCAGCTCCAGAACCAACGGGCTGCGCCGGGCTCTGTAGGCCTGGAGGGTCTTGCCTGGCCGAAAACGTGGGTGCGGCAGGCGGCCGCGGGGGCCGCGGAGGCGCGGGGGTCTTGAACGATGCAGGACGTGGCGTGGCCTGCGGCGCTTCGGCCGGCATGCTTGCCTGTACGCTCATAGGCGGCTGCTGCTGTTGCTGTTGCTGCTGAGATCCCGAGTTTGCCATGTCCAAGTCCCCGTCGTTTTGCTGCATCACGGATGTGGGAGCCCTGTTTGGGGGCGACATGGTGTCCGTCAGCATCTCCATGCCGAAATCGTCAGCCGTCATGATTTCCATGGAGACCGTGTTGCCCATATACTGATCCCCCAGGCTCGTGGACGAGAAGAGTCCCATGTTGTCCTGGCCTGTCGTGGTCGAGCTCATGTTGAGGCTGGAGAAGCTGAGCATATTGCCCATCATATCGGGCGACAGTGTCGAGAAGCCCCCGGCGCTGACCATATTGACCATGCCCATGCCGCTGTGCTGGTCGTACTGGGAGTTGGGAGGAACCGACACGTTCATACTGCCGCCCATGCCCGAGTTCCCCATGGTGTCAAACGTGTTTCCCATGTTGGAAAAGTCAAAGTTGGTCCCGAACTCCATCATGGACAGCCGCCTCGTACCCGAGTCCAGATCGTGGGGAGAGTAGGTCTGGGTCATGCTCCACCGCCTGTGCATTTCGTTGGAGTTGTTTTGGATGATGTCGTCCAGCGACTCGCCGTCGAGCATGGGCGAGTTCGATATGGCCGACATGGGGTCATCCTGGACCCCCGGGCCGTCCATGACCATACCTCCAACCTGCAGGTTGGCGAGGTTTCCGAGCTGGTGTTGTTGTTGCTGCCGCCGCCGCTGCTGCTGCTGTTGGACAGCCAGCTGTCGCTGTACCTGCTCGCTTTGAGTCTGCCCCGCAAAGTAATTGTTGTTGTCCATGTCAGGCACATTAAAAGGGGCGGTCAAAGCCCCGCAGCTGCAGATCTAGCACAGGTGCGGGAGGATAGAAAAACGGTGAGAAAAAGCAACAAGACCACGTGGACGCCCGTAGTCTGCCGGAGGCCCCTCAGGATAATTCTCTGGCCGCAGGGGCCCCGATGGGCGCTCTAAGAAGACTTGACAGATGGGGGTGCGATAAGGGGGAACAGAAAAGTTGCATGGAATGGCCCCTTGCACAGGGCTTCGTTGGTGGCGCCAGACAGAGCTGGAGGCGGGCCAAGTGATGGATCGCAACGCGAGGAGGCTAAGATGGCCGGGGGTTCGGACGGTAGCCGCGATCGAGGTTGCACAAGGGAAGGGGCCTCCGGGCTGGGGATGTTTATGTATGGTGTGGTGGGTGCGATATGTTGGAGGGTGGTTACAGGCTGCTGCTGGAGCTGGAGCTGGCCAGACAAATCCTCGGGAGTAGCACAGCAATCGCAGCGCTGACTCTCCGATGGTGGCGCTGGCCTGGGTCGTCGGTAGCACAGGGAGGGGGGCGAGCGTCGTCTGCTCGACTCGCCCCGGCTGGGGGATCGCGGGGGGAGCAGGACCGTCAGTCGGGCGGCGTGCGGTGGGCGTGGGTCGGGGCCCGTGTTTAGGTGGGTTTTGCAGCCGTCGCAGGGTTTGCACGATGCTCGCACGATGCTCGCATAGAGTGGACGGGACTGGCGGGGTCTCGGGAGTCGGCTGGTCGCTGGCGATGCAGGTTGGCAGATCAGGGTCAGGAGAGGTGATGCGAGGACATTGAGATTGACTTGGCTGGAGCTCTGTTCTTTGGGCTGCGATTAGGCGAGGGGGCCGCACCCACGCCGCACGGAAATTCCCACCAGGACCAGGACCCTGCCTTGGTCCCTGGTCGCCACCACAGGGAGGCGGTACGTACCTGTAGGCACCTCAGCTGTAGGTACCCACCCACGGTCTAGGTTTGGTCCAGATGTCTTGATCCAGATGTCTTGGTCCAGATGTCTGGCCGGCACTTGCTCCCAGCACCACTCTATCGTGCATTTATTGAAATAAACGAATACTAATCCCAAAAACCCTGTTCCCAGAAACCCCATTCCCAAATATCCTGCCTCCCAAATTCCCCCCGCCTGACTTGGTGATCGCTTGGTGCCATCAATGTCTCGTGACAGATCGTCCTCAATCCCGAAAAAAAAAAAAAACAAGCTAAGAAGAAAAGAAACCAGACAGACGCCTCTTCGCAGCAACTCGGTGGAATCCACCCAACGCACCCCACCCTGCCATATTAGTCCAGCCCAAGGCCACAGCTTTACTCATCAGTGGACGAGGAGAAATTGGGTTCCATTCATGTAAAATAACAGCGGGAGGGGAAAAGGACAAGAATGCGCAAAAAAAAAAAAAAAAAAAAGAACATGGAAGGATAAAAAGAGTAATAGACAAGGAAAAATACCGCGATGAGGCAACATACCACACTTCATGGCTCTTTTATATACTCCTAATACGTGCCTTCTCGACCCAACCGCCAACCGCCAACCGAGGTGAGCCCCACTACGATGTGCCATCTGCGTTGCGGGGAGGTGGCTGCAATTGTTTACCACGAAAGTGCCGTTTTATTCTTAGCGTGCCACTCCATGGGTTCGTCCGCCTCCCGTTCCAGGGCAAGCTTGTTTCGACGTGCCGGGACCCTTGTGCTGGTCCCCTGTATCGTACTCCCGAAAAGTGCTCATGAGCTGACGTGAATATTTCCACGCGAGTCGGTCCTGACCGTTTGCTGTCCCGCGCGATGGCTGGTCCCGAGGTTAATAACCA